TACGTTTTGTTTAGGAATAGCTAATTTTACCCTAACACCATGTCCCCACTTCTTAGTCAATCCCTACTAGAGTTCTCCACAACAGACGCATTAGACATTTAAAATTGATTGCGGAGCCTTCTGTGTCTGCCCACCCCCAATCATAGACACGGTTTCTTCTCTTCTTTTTAGCAAGACTAAGACAATCCTTTCAATTTGACCCAAAAAAAAAAAAAAAAACTAATGAAAATGGTTTAAAAAATTTGAGTTTTAACGATAAGAATAAAATAAAGGGTAAAGTAAATAATACCATGATTGACTTTTTAGTGTAAAAATGTGATTTTTTGTTAAAGTAAACAGTACTAGGAATTTTTCGTTAATGTTTCCAAAAAAATAAAGACACTTTCAACTGTACCTGATTCATAACAATCGGATCAGGGATTTTTTCAAATTCTCTTTATGAGGATTCTAAAGATCAATTCATCTTAGTCATGCATCGAATATCATGCGGTCAGTTTTAAGTTAGGATTGTTTGTGTTCAATTTTAAATAAAATTTTTAAAATAATTTATGATCACAAGATGACTAATAACTAGATATAATTAATTGATCCTTATTATCCCTACAAAGAGGATCTGAATACGATCATGTTCCATAACAATTATAAACTAGTCTTGAAACAAGAAGTGTTGTTCTTTTGTCACAAGTATGAAAATCAAATATTGATATTTTGATTTTACCTTATATCGTGAGTCTGATTTTATTTTTAAGTATTTTAGTTATTAACTTAGAGAATTAGCTACTGATTTTGTATGTTTGTGAAACAATTCACAATTCATAATTCATTTTAATTTCATATATTTGCTTAATATTTAATTTAAATTTCATACATCTATTAAAAATTCAGTTAAATTTATTATTTATGAGTGACACATAGATAAAAGATTATAAAAAATCAATTTAAAAAGAAAATAACGTTTTATGCCAAGTGGCCCAACCCCCTTCAATCATACCTCTGTATGATGTATCAGAATAACAGAGTGCAATCTGAAATGAAATGGGAAAAGCCTTCAAATTCAGTCAACCAATCCAAAATTCCATTAACGTGAAGCATTCAAATATTCAAAATAAACAAAAAATGGAAAATAGAAATCGAAGGGTCGTACCATGTTTGAACACCGGATGATATCTGCAAATAACACTCGTCTGAGAATCTCATCAGGAATATGGGGCCAATTCGGGATGTTAGCTCTGACAGAGATTGGTGATGATGAGGCTATGCAAACGAAGGAGGCAAAGAGGTTGAAGGAGACGAAGAACTGAAATCGTCTCGATCTGCACATACAAATCACGATCAAACCCCAACTTCAAAACCCGGCAATGAATTCCCTTCCCCTTCGATCTGCTTCATTACTCTGGCGCAAGCCTTGAGCGCGAAATTTAAGGTGAAATGATCCGGCCCAACACCCATCTCCTGCATATGATTGTAAATGTGTATAGCACTGACGGGGAAGACACCGTTTACGCTCCGGAAATGTCCAGAGCAGACACGATTTTTTTTGAGGAAAACTAATGAAAAGAGCTTGAAAACTTTGAGTTTTAATGATAAGGACAAAATAAAGGGTAAAGTGAATAGTATCATGATTGACTTTTTAGTGTAAAAATGTGATTTTTCGTTAAAGTGAATAATACCGGGTGCTTTTCGTTAAAGTTCCCTTTTTTTTGACACTCTCTCTACTAGAATTCTGCAGAACAGGTGCTCTGTTGGTCACACATAATTATGGTTCCTTTTTTTCTCCATCAAGTCGCAAACAATTTTGATTGATTGAGTTGGTGTCGATTTAAAAGTCAGACATTCATTACAATGAAATTTCCTCTCTTACAAAATTTTGTTTTTATTTTTTTATTTTTTATGAACTAGAACTCGAAAAACATATAAAAACACAAAAAATCCCACTCTCACCGAACTTCAATAAATTAAAGAGAGGAGTTTGGCTCTTTAGATTGAAAGGAGTTCCTCCTTAATCTCTGAGTGCTGATTCATAGAAGACATGCTTATGATTATAATAGTTTGTATTATAAATCATTTTGAAAATATCATTTCTACAAAAAAATAATTAAAATTATGATTATTTAGTCAATCCATTGTAACAAAACACTCAGGTAACCAATATTTTTTTTTTTAACACTCTCTATTCCTCCTATGCGCATAACCATCTCCTAATCCCACCGCCACGATCTCCCAAGTTCGCCAGCCCCGGGCATCCATTTTTTGAATCTTTTGTTCTTGAAATCCCAGGAATACCAAATCCATGACAAGTTGACAACCCAATAGAATTTGTTCTGATCACTTATCAGCACCAAAAATAAACAGAATGGAACCCAACAATAAAATGGAAACCCACTTCAAATTCCAAAAACAATTCCAAATTGAAATCCATACCTTAAATTTACAAAATTTGTAGGTAGTGAACTTGTGGTTGCGATTAAAGAGAGCCTAAAGGGTTGACGAAGTAGGGCTAGATCGTCAAGTTTAGGATCCGGAGTAAGGTGGATCGAAATATGAGTGTCTTAGAAGTCAGGTTATGGACTCAACAATTTCGATTGAATTGAGCTACTCAAACGGACTAACGATGCCTTCACATCCTGCTATACTCCAGAAAGATAGGTAAAGTCCACAAACTTCGCTGATAATATTAACCATTCTTGTTCCGCAAGACACGGAAACCTGATCAAACCGGGGATCGGAAGAGTTTCCTATATTCTTGGAGATATTGATGTCTGCCGCAAGTAATCACACACTTAAGAGGCACAATATATATATATATATATATATATATATATATATATATATATATATATATATATATATATATATATCTAATATATCCTCTTGGACTCTCAGTTTAATAGAGTTTTGTGTCCTAAAAAGTCTCTCTCGATTAGTATAAATACTCTCAAATCTCTGGTAGCACTTCCATAATGGATATATTATTCACTTGCCCCTGGCTAGTCTCAATATTGCTTACTAACTTGACAGTCGGTGAACCTTTGGCTAGTACACCACTGTTGCTAAGGTCTGACTTCAGTTGTTTACTTTGTAGTGGGACTTCTCACCACCTCCTTCTACTGTGTTGCGCTTTAGTTCTAACAAGTTAATCTTGTAATGACGTGGTTTATTTGCAAGGAAGAAAGAGGCGTATTATGTCTGGACCCAACGAAAACATGTACACACTATCATAATCCTCTTGGTCTTATGTTCACAAGGGCGTATTATGTCTGGACCCAACGAAAACATGTACAGCACAGGAACGGAAATCATCAAACTATTGTCATAGTTATTGAAAACGTTCACTCGAAAATGGTTCGCTTATAACCCTGACTGTTTTCAGAAAGTGCCGACAATACATTTTTAATCCCTCATGAAAGCAATGTCTTTGTCCCATAAGCGTTATATGTACTCATGTTCTCCTTTTTATGTGAATGTTGGCTAGCTAATGAGCTACATTAAATGTGGTCTAATAACAAAATGCCTTCCCTAAGCAGTCATGCGAGTCCGACTAGACCTGGCCGTTCACTAGTACCAAAAACACTTTGCGTGACGTAGGTCATTCGTCGCGCAAAGTCAAAAAAACGTCGCGGAAAAATTTGCGCAACGAATCTTCGTCACGCGCCAAGCCTGTGAAAGCAGGGTTTGCGCGACGTAGGATTTTGCGTCACGCAAAGACACTTTGCGTGACCTATGCAACTTCTTCGTCACGCAAACTATTTTATTTTTGGGACAAAAAAATTGCGCGACGTAGGATTGTGCGTCACGCAAGGTGACTTTGCGTGACCCATGTAACTTCTTCGTCACGCAAACTTTTTTTTTTTTGGGACAAAAATTGCGCGACGTAGGATTGTGCGTCACGCAAAGACACTTTGCGTGACATATGCAACTTCTTTGTCACGCAAACTATTTTTTTTTTTGGGACAAAAAAATTTTTGATTTAATTTTTAATAAATATTGTAATTCAATTCTAAAAAATAAATAATAAACCAATAAAAAGTATTTAATTATAAACCATATGAAAATGTACATACAAGATGTCCGAACAAAAAAAGAAAAAACTACAATAAGTAGTCTTCTAGGTTTGATACATCAAACTACTAGGTATCAGCTGGACGAAGTGGCTGGGAGGTTGAAGGTGGAGCAAGATCAAGTGATGGCAGCTGGATTTGAAGACCGGACATCGCTAAGGCCTATAGAATCATACTCACATGGTCGCCCTGGGTCCTAACCTGGGCCTTCATCCACTCGTTCTCAGCCCTCAGCTGCTCGTTCTGGACCCTCATCTGCTCATTCTGGAGTTACTTTGCTATTTGGACAATTACAAATAAACAGATGCACAAAAACCTATTTTGTAGTACCTAAGTCATGACTGAGAGATAGCGAAAAGATGACCAAAACGTAAAATAACACTAATCTGGAAGACCATCAAAGTTAGAGCAGCGAATTTAAAGTCATATTTCATAGTGTAATGATGCCATAGATGTACAACTATGAAGTCTATTCCATAAGTCCTTTACTTCATGACCACAGAAAGCAATGTACATTAATCTCTCTCACAATTTGAGCACTTCCCTAAAATTATATTCGACAATACTTTCAGCTAGCTATGAGCCTATGACCCATTATTCCTTTTTCAAACAATACTACATAACATATTCTTCTAATTTGTATTAGTGAAACATATTATGAGTCAAATATCCAAGAATCAAAACCATACAACGAGCTGAAATCTAGAATACATTAAACAACATGTGTCATCATGGTCACAAAGAGAGTACACACCTAAAAATTGATTTGCATCCTCAAATTGCAAAATTTTGTCATCTTGGAGATTTTGACAAGCAGAACAGTTCTTCCTCTGGAATTGACTTTCACAGAGGACGAGATGCTTCTTAGAGAAATGTCTTATGTCACAAAGATGGTGACAATCACTACTGGCAAGTGAAACGCTTGCTTCATCCCTGCTGAATGTAGCTGCCTATTAGAACAAAAGCTACACAGCTACACAATATATGCATAGTTTTTCATTGTTCTAGATTTTTTAAGTTCCTATGTATCTTCTCCTACATCTATGAATTCTAAATAAATACAAATCATACAATGGTTGAATTGAATTCATTATGACTTAACGCTATTTATCAAATTGGAAACATCATAACATGCTCTACCTAACAGATTATATCAACAAACAGATGGAAGAAGAAAAAAAATCACAATATATGTCTTGACAGAGAGACGTTTATTTGTAAGGAACTACAGAACCTCAAGGTAAATTGCAAGACTGCTCACTACATGTGCTCTAGTCATCCCAGAGATGACAGCAGGAGACACAATGAGTTTAACAAACATATAACACAACCTTCCACCTGATTCCAGGCAGAAGAATAACAAAATTATGTTAACAACCAACTAGGTAGTAATCACCGAAAACATATCCAAATACACTAGTACTCTCTGTTCATTCTTCCATTTAACAGCATGCCATTTCAGCAGTTTAAACAAAACTTGACATATGCCCGATCAGTAATTTAGCACTTGTCAAGCAACTTTCGTAATAAACTTAGCTGAGTTACGCTTATATACAAAATAACAAGCTATGAACCCCTCCCCCAAACCACAAACAAATAAATCCTATGTCTTATGCTTCTCTTTACAGAAAAACGAAAAACAGTTAAGCTCAACCTAGGTGAAATTCTGTGTTCCACCGATAGAAACAAAATACAACAAGGCAATGCAAAACCTGTATGAAATGAAGATAAAAATTAGTTACATGCTTTCCTACCTATTTTCTGCCATTTCATACGGCACCAAACGGGCGGTGAACAATTACCCAAACTGAAAATCCTACCCATACCTAATTAAAAACAAAACCCCCAAATTTCTATCAAAAATTTTTAATTTTCAAGTCACTAACTTCAATACCGCAAAATTATAAGCTTCTAAAATAAAATTGAACAAAAATTAAAGCTAACCCAATCAAATCACATACATATACAATATTTTACATATCAGATATACAAGCATATACAAACAACAAATACATACACAAAAATAAAAAAATTTAACATTCTAGGCTAGATCACTCACCTAACCGTTAGATCTTCAGAAATCTACACCGATCTTTGAGAAATATGAAACCAAAAACCCTAACCCTAAAGTCAATCTAAGCGAAACAGGAATTGAAAAAAGGGAAATTTGAAAACCCTGTACCCTAATTATACTATAAACAGATCACAAGAGAGAGGTAGAGAGAGGGGGTCCGTACCTGATTCAGAGGAGAAATCGAGAAATTTCGATGAAAGTTTCGAGCGTCGGCGACTCGGCTTTTTGGGGTCTTCGTTGAAAATGTGAGGTTGCTGAGAAGCTGCTGTTTACAAGTAGGTGAGGGACAGTGATAGGCTCACCCTCAAGCTAATTCATACGGAGCAGCAAAGAACGTCAAGCCGGAACCGTCAAGCCTTGAAGATTTTGCATCAGACCAACTAAATTCAGTAACCAGACCAACATTTACATCAGCTAAATTCAGTAACCAGACCAACATTTACATCAGAAATCCTTACCTTGATTTTGAGACTTGATTCGCGTAAGAGAGAGGGAGAGATGAGCGACGGGGAAGATTGTTAAAAGTTAAAACCTAGCAAATCCAGAAATAAATCAAAAGATTACATAGGAGTTCAAATTTCAGACATTTCTATTCTCCACGACATTCTTGGTCCAAGTAACGTATAAAAGACTATGTCAACAAGTAACGGAAATTGCATCCAGATGAAGGAGGTAACTGGAACACAAGCAAGCAAAATGCTTGGAACAACAATCGATGCTTGCCCATTAAAGAGTACAAGAAAAGACAATCATCATGGCGGCGATAGATAAAAAGAGGGCGAAAAGGCCTATTAACATTTTTGTGGGCAAAGATTTGTGGAAATCATCTTTAGAAGTATAACGTGAAGTGAGAACTCCCAGAAACATAATAACCGAAGTTGTGGAAGGAAAGAGTGAGATTGCATCTGAAACTACAACAGTTGAATACCTTTTTAGTTAAGAATGTAGGAAGACTTGTATCTCCATTATTTCCACCAGGTACTGTGAAAGCTGCAACAAACATGATGGTAACAATGAGAGCACCTACAACCGTACAAGAAGTTGTTATTTCTTTCATTAACTTTTCTGCCTCCTTCGCCAATTTCTTATGGTTGTTCATTAATACTTCATGTGGTGTCTTACAATCTTTGTTTTCATCTTCATGATCCTTGCACTTTGTTACTCTTTCACCTAGTGCATTTCATCCAGCTAAAGTTTTATGATAGGTTTACTACTCATCCTTAGAACATTGCCCTTTCAGACATCGCAGAACCAAAAATCCGTAATTTCTTGAACTACATAGAATGTTAAGTAATAGTAGTTAATTAAAACCAATATTTTTCTTTTTATATTCAACTTTTTCTCCTTTTTGATTTGAACATAGTAGAGGTCGGTTCGAAAATTGAAAATAAAAAAAAATCGAACTGAATACTGAACGTTAACTAAAAAAACCAAAGCAAATTAGAAAAAAACAAACTAAATCAAAATCTATTGATTCGGTTTTAGTTTTAGTGGTTCAGAAACCGAACCGAATGAAATAATTCTTAAAACGGTGTCATTTTACTTCCATCCATCTAAACGTTGTCGTTTTACTTTTATTCTATTACCTAATTAAGGCTGTTGATGCACAAAACCAGAGGTCTTAGAACAACGTAAATCCGACCGTGAATCTGCAAGAAATGTAAATAACACAAGAGGTATCGTGGTTCACCCCAAGGTTTGGGCTACGTCCACACTGATATGTATTTATTTGAGGGAGAGAGAGCACTTATATGTATTTATTTGAGGGAGAGAGAGCTCTGAGAGTGAGAGCTTCGAGAGGGTGAGGAGCCTTAGGAATTAACCTCTCCTAATTGTGAGGGTGAGGGGTCCTTTTATAGAATAAGGACTCCTCACTTATTACATATTTGTCCATTCCTTTATCACATAATTACATTTAAGTCCCTCGAATATTTGTACGATATCTAAATACGAGGCCCTAAATATGGTATAAACAAAGGCTATTAGTTTTTTTTTTTAAATAAATTAAGTAGATTTATTGGAATGAGAATATGCCTGAATTTAGAAAGATTTTAATTTATCTCTAATATTAAAAAAAAAATGCAAATCGAGTATAAAAAAAAAGTGGATAAAAGATAATAATGAACTTAACCTAATAATCATGTTAATTTTTTGGACCTAGATCTAAATGCTCAAAAAAAAATTTATCAACCCTAAACTCTAGTATGCTAATAGTGATTTATATATGTACACAAAACATAAGGGGCATACCTTGAACGATTGTACTTCTCTTTGCATTTGCAAAGCTGCACCACGGATGTTATTAATATTTAACAATGAGAATGAGGAAATACTTGCTACTGTATGCAGCATATTATTGCCAGAGTTATCGATGAGATGTTCAGATTGTTGTGCTAGCATAGCACCAAGCCTTATGGAACCAACTCAAGCTAATCCACAAAAAATATATCAAATGGAATGCAAGAACAAAATATAAAGGACACCAAAATTTTAACGAGATTCCTCAATAGTCAGTGTAACTGGAGTACGTTTTCGGAGTAGTAGGAGCTCACCCAATAATCCAATATCAACCAAATGGGAGTTTACAAAGTGTTGGCAAGCTCACAACCCCAAAAAACCCCAATACAACCAATAACTCTCACACACCAAAGAAACAAATAGAGAAAGAAATATAGTGATTAATTTATTCTCTATACAAAGCTCAAAGCTATTACAACAACAACTACTTTGGTGGACGATTACTAACCAAAGAGATGAGCACTTTCTTCTTCTCTTCAAAGAGGGGCTTCATCACCCCTATTTCTTATTCTCTGTTTTTCTGGTGCACACCTCTCTGCTCTCTCAAATTGCTCCAAAGGCAACAACTCTTTGTTAAGAACCAAAACCCACGGGTGTTAATGGCCAAAACAACTAACTTTAGACAATGTGCCTTTTTCTTTTTCCCAAAACAAGGAAGGGACACAATGATGTTGTCCACCTTTTCTTTTCTTTTATTTAATCAAAAGGTATTTGCAAGTTGGCCACTAATTTTGGCCACTATCCAACAATCTCCACATTAGCCAAATTCTGAAAACATCATGATAAGCCAACCAACACAATCAACAATCAACACAAAACATCACTCCCAATCACTAATCCAAATGAAACATCTATATTCCATTCAAGTTTTGCTCTTTTGTTTCGATAACATGGGTGCTCACTGGAGTGACCACTACGTACAACACTGGTATTTCCACCATCTTTGTTGGGTTGTCAATGGCCGAGATTTGCTCTTCGTACCTAGATGAAGACGACGTTTAACATTTTTCTCTTAAGTTGTAGCTTTTAGTTTGATCAGTTTTAGTTTTATATCTTAAGAAAATAATTTTGTTAGTTAATCCATGTGGTGCTACCCTAGCATAAAATTTAAAGGAAATATAATCAACACATGGACCATATTAACGTGCTTTTTGTTTTTTTAATGAATGCTAGCTATATTTTTCTCTTGACTTTTTCTTTATACCTTTCTCACTCGTTATATCCCTTTAGAACCTGATAATACTTGGGTACTGACTAGTCAGTACCCATTTTACTCACTAACTTACATGGCCCAGTAAAAACAAGACATGTGTTAAATGTTTAAGTTTTATAACCAAGTAACCGAAACCCTTAACCAACAGACCACCTCTCGTCTTTCTCTTCCAGCATCTGGGAATCTTACATGCCATGCCATGGCCGGCATGGCTTCTCTTCTCCGGCGACCCTAACAGGCCACCCCCACCACCCATCCTTCTTTTCTCCAGCGACCCACCTCCAATCCCTCTCTTCTGCAGCAACTGCAACTAGTCGTCCACCGTCGTGGACGACGGCGATTGCTAAGGACGGTCTCCTGCGATGGCTAAGGCCCACAGCTTGGATCTTTCAGACGATGGCGGAGTCGACGAGGTAGCCGTGGTCGCGGACTTGTTGTGGAGGACGCAAGATGGGTTGGACGAGGGAATGGAGTTGGGGTTGACGGGCAGAAGTGAATTGGTTGCTGAGATCTGCCATGGAAGGAGGGAGGGGAAGAAGATGATGCTGTTTGGTTAGGGACATAGGGTGACGGATGGGTGTTTGGGTGTTACGATAGCAATTGTTGGGATAGGTTTCAAATGACAGATGTTTACATTCGATTGATCCACGTGGTCGGTAATATTGTGTGTCCTGACTGATCAGCATCCAAGTATTGTCCATTAAACCTGTCGGTTTTTATTCCAATTGTACCCCTATTAAATCCAAGCTAACCGATTGTTTAATATTATTTTAAGTTTAGTAGTATAAATAAAAAAGAAAGCTAACTACCTTTCCCTCTTTATAGTATTTTAATAGTTTTTAAGTTTAACTTCTGTTTTTTTCTCTCTTTTTATGGGCTAAATTTATTTAGTAACTATTGATTTTATTAATTTGGCTTACAATATAGTTAGGCCGTTGGAAGCAATCATGTAGAATATGAGATATGATGCAAATTAGACAAGGGTTAACATGGAGAGAGAATAAAACATAAAATAAAAATAAGACTAACCGTTATAAATCCATTTTTCCCAAAATATGAGCCAGCTTCTATTTAAGTAGGCAGAAGGCAAACTACCCAACATTGCTAAGGGAGTCCTTCCTTCGATATCTTTAGCCATGGCTAACTTTGGATAACGTTGAATTAAATCCCACGCAATATCTATATATAGTAAAAGAGTAAAATAGGAATATTGTGAGTATACTGAAAAAAGTTTGTAACCAAAAATATCTTACAGGAAAAGAAGATTCAGGGTGCTGATAATAACAAGGGAGTTTTTGCTACTCCTAACTCATGGTTTACAAGAAAACACTACTATGAAGGGCCATATTTTTTTTATTGGATTAAACAATTTAAAGAGTTCAATAATCTAAAACTCGGGTGCATATCACATTCCGGTGGAAAATAGAAAAAATTCGGTTGACAACCGCTTGACTTTTAAACGCTAAATTAATTAATTTGTACATTACACATTTAAATATTAAGCATTTTCAGAATAAAATCACATAACGTGGCCCATCACCAAATCAATAATTGGTCTTATATATATACTAGCCTCTCTGCACGCACTACGTGCGTGCGAGAGGCTTTTTTTGCATCACGGGCGCTACGCGCCCCAAAGATGTGTTATTTTAGATATTCTGATATTTCTTAAGTGATTATTTTATAAATTAAGCAACATATATTCCATCCAATTTGCACATGTGTGAGTAATCTCCCATACAATTTTTACTATTTTTCCTTTAAAACAACAACGAAGATAAAATGGGAAAACATAAACTATTAAAAAAATCTGAAAATATGACATGTAATTTCATTTCTAGATACATGCTAATAACATTTAATGTCCTTAAATCAAAATTTTTAGATTCATAAGTTTTCAGTCAAAGTTATAAGCTAGCAAAGCAAAATATAGACAACATGTACATATATAAACATAACGTCTACATGTAAAATCAAAGCCATGCTTGCCACCCATTTGCTTGCACTTGATGCTTTAGATTTTCATGGTTAATCTGCAAGCAATGATGATAAAATAAGAAGTCTAACTATAATGCACAATCCCAAATATAAAGATTGTAAGCAATTTAACCAAAATACCTTTAACTTTGACAATTTTCTCATGGCAATACTTTTACTCCAGTTACTTTTCGAATACTGAAAGATAAATAATTTGTCAAGTTTTAGGTAACAAATTGTAATCATGTTTACAAAATTAAATAGTAAGAGATGTTACCTTGGTCTTGTACTTCAACCTTTGAACTTTGAGACGGGTGTGATGCTTGTAAAACTGACAAAAAATGCAATTTTAT